GGGGGGGGGGCGCAGTTTGTTTCTGTTCCTGGTTGCCAGAGAAACACCCAGCGCATGCGTCTGCTGCTGCACTTGTCAGACAATGGCAGCGCTGCTTAGCATTCAGAGCGAGAGGCCAAGGTGGCGCTTCCCACCATCTGCCAACAAAAGGCCCAGGTCACCCAGCCTCCCTCGTTTCCTTCCACCCCCCCACAGCTCACCTCACCCCACTGCTGGCCCAGCTGAGAAAACGGAGGGCTTCTCCCCATTTCCCCCTCCCTGCTCGTCCCCCCAAAAACCCCCTCAGCTTTCATGGTACAGTACTTTCATCTCTCTTTGAAGAGCCTCACTCCTTTTTTCTCTCTCACAACGTCTTCAAATCTTTGTCCTCCCGTTTGGACAGCACTTGCCAAAGAGAGAGCGGTGAAGTCTCAGGTATGCAGTCACAGCCAGTGTTAGTTACGACGTACAGCTACGTAATGTGTTCGCCCAGCTGGTAAGTCACACAACACAGCAGCCCTGTATTTTAGGACAGGTGTGTACAGTCTGCGTGAGAAGATATCCTCATGAGCAATACTCGCTGTGGGATGTTATAAATAAACTGCTGAGTTGTTATGAGCCAGCATGCAGGACTGTTCTTTCCAGAGAGGGAGTGGCCTGTTGAAGAAGACATCCTGCACACTGTCTGTTTTCTCCTCAAGTCACATTCACACATCATCGCGGATCGTTTTTTTTTTACTTTAGAAAAAGCTTTTCATACAACCAGTAATTGTTGAAAAAACGGACTTCTTCTTCTCCTTTTTACAGTCGTATTTCGTCAGCTGTTTTTACAGTACTCTGTATTTGCGGTGAACTCCGTGTTTGGAGATCCATCCCGACCACATCGTGATGCTGAAAAGTTGATGGATGAGTCGGGAATGTTCACGTCCGCTTGTAAGCAAACAGTGCTGCGACTTTTGCTGATGCAGCGTTAATGTTGGTGGCAGAGCAAGAATTTAAGCTTCGCCTCCTGAATGCACGAATTCAGTTTTGCCTGTACTGCAGCTGAACGATCGCTCCGTTTGTGTGCGGTGCTGTAAAACCAAAGCAGCACTAGTCAGGTTGGATTCGTTGTTCTTGTTGGTTATGTGTTTGATTTCATGGTGAAACTGTTTGTTGGCACTGCTGGCTTCTATCGACTAAATCACCCTGGCGAGTGTTTTTGGGTCAGGTTCCCTCGCTCAGGCTAGTGGTTCTGCTGGCTGAGTTCAGTGCTGCTGCTGTTTTAAACATAAACCAGCAACCTCGTGATGATGTATTCCTGACTGCTGGGCTGTTTCTGCCACAGGGTCTCTCAGAAAAATCACTCAATTCTCCGTCAGTGTAATTCGGCTCGTATGATTTGATCACCTCTCAATTCAACAATGCAAGTCGTCACGCAGCCCATCAAACTGATTCTCACGTTCTCAGTTTAGTTGTGTTTCACAAAAGATAGCTGTCACTGCAATAAAAGGCCAAGGTTGCGTTTATTACGGTTACAGACGGGGAAAAAAAACAGGAAGTATTTTCACATTTCTTTTAACTCACCTTGGCAGCGTTTCAGAGAGATGCAACAAACTGTGGCTCGTTATGTCTGCTGAACGCTCCCACTTTAAAGAGGACCGTGTCTTTAAACCATCACCTGGAGGAAAGACTCGACCTACGCAGATTATAAAACATTAGGACCAGCTTCACAATAAATAGAAGTCTTTTCTATACAGGTGTCGTTTTCTCTTTTAGTAACGTAGTGAAAGAACATGTAGAGGTAATATATTTTTAATTCAAAGCAACTTTATTTATCCCTACAAGGACTTTTGGTATTTTTGCTGTTTGTATTTTATTTCCTGCATCTGGCTCCTTTTTAAAAGTGCAGGTTGACTGAATGTTTCCTTAATTATTAAACCGAACACATTCTGCGTCGCTGTAGAAATCCAGAACCGATGTTGCTTCAGGTTTAGCTTGTTAGAGCTGAATCCACCAACTCGCCACCTATCTGTTGTGAAAGAGCAGCCTCAGCAACAGCAGTGTGTGTGTCTGTGTGT